GGAAACTGAGGCAGATAGAGGTTAAGTGATTTGCTAAGGGTCACTTAGCTAGTAAGTATCTGAGGCAGAATTTGAACCCATTCCTCAGTGCTGTATCTGTAGCACCACCTAGCTACCTCAGCACAGCTGTATGGACATGCAAATTTGCATATTTTAATAGAATACAGAAACCTGATACAGCCTCAAGAGCCCCGAGACGAGACGGGATTCAAAATACGTACAGCGTAGTCAAAACTCTGGCACTTGCTAGTGTTGTGATTAGATCACTTAAAAATATTTGAATACTGGGAAGATCTGTGATTTTGCCATGGTGAGTGCTTCTGCTGTCAACATGAATCATAACACCTTTGTGACTTAGGATATAGTTTTCAGAAATTCCTGTGGCCTAACATTTCACCATCCTGTGACCAACCTGGTGATGAGTGCCTTGAGGTCAGCGATTGTTTCATTTTTTTCTTTGCATTCAGCACTTGGCACAGTACCTGACACATGGTAGGTGCTTAAGAATAATACTGGTAGCTAGCATTTATAGTGCTTTAAGGTTTAAGTGCTTTACAAATATTATCTCATTTTATCCTCATATCAGTGCTGGGAGACAGGTGCTGTTATTATCCCCATTTTTACAGATGAGGAAACTGAGGCAGATAGCAGTTAATTGATTTGCCCAAGATTCACATATTCAAACACAAGTCTTTCTGACTCCATTCTATTCACTGTGCCATATTTGTTGCCTGTAATACTTGCCCATAATTATTAAAAGCTCAATTAATATGCAGTAAGCTTAATAAATGCTTGTTGAATTGAATTGCATTGAAGGGATCTCTCCAACTGGTCCTCAGACAATAAACATATAGTTTTTCATTGGGGTAATAATAACAATGATAGAACTTTAACATCTACTAAGAGTTTTCCTCATGACAGTCCCCCAAAATGGAGGTACAAATATTATCCTCATTGAACAAGTGAGGAAACTGAGGCACAGAGCGATTAAGTGATGAGAATTTTGGACTTGTTGGGATCACAGGTCTCTAGTTCTAAATCTATGATTCCTGATTTGCCCATGGTCACACAGATGGTCATTGTCAGAGCTGTGATACAAATTAAGTTTTTTGGCTTAAAAACTGAGGAACTTTCACAGAGTTCCTTGCTGTCTTTCTGAATCTTGGTTTCGTCATTGGTAAAATGGAGAGAATAATCTACTTACTTTTCCAATTTGTTGTGGGCAAAATTATTGCAAACTGTGCAGCCACTACATAAATGTGAGTTGTTATTCATTACCTTCAACAGATATTTATTTGGCACCTGATATTAGGAAGGTTCTATCTATGGCTGGGGTGGGGGAGGCTGTTGGAAAGAGGATGGAAAGGTTCTATATTAAGCACTAGGGGCATATCTCCTGCCCCAAGGAATTTATAGTCTAGGGGAATTGCTCCCAAAGCAGATGAATGTGGCTCAGCAGGCCGACACTACACAGACTGTCAGGTTTTTGGCTGTCCTTTGAATTTGAGCTGCCACCTGGAAGGGTTTCTTGCTATTTGTGTCTCTTCTTCTTCAAGTCAATATGACATATTTACTTAGAGTGAACCATCCCACCTCTGGCTGTTTGTACACCAAGAAGGCCTATCTACGGCTATTGTTTCTCAGCCACTGGCATGACCCTTAGTCTCCAAATTCTGCTTTAGTGTATTCTTGAAGTGTTTCCCTGGTGTGCTTGCCTCGTGCCTGCCTGCCTGGGGTTTGCCTCATGTGGAATTTTTCTCCGTGAATGAGGAACAGAATGTTCCTTTACACTGAGCCAATAGTGCTTTCTCACATGCACTCAGGGTAAGCTTTTTACTCTCTGAATAGGGCTCAAAAGTCTTGACTGGAGCACTTCAGAAATAGGCCAGGTTTATACTTTTATAAAAACAAAGCAGAATCTGAGCAACCCCTCTCTTGGAGGAGCACAGATGGTTTGAATTTCTCCAAGGGCAAGCATATGGTGGCGACTTCTGTATGGCAAATGCATGAAACTCTGATCCCTGCTGATGGGGAAGAGGGTGAACATGAAGGTGGCCTCTTCTTTTGAAAAGGTAGGCCTGAGGTTTGTTAAAAGAAAAAGTCTTTGGGATTTTGAAGAGCTGCAATGTGGGGAATCAGACTTCTGTCTTCATATGCACCAACCTTGTGTGCTGGAGGAGCTGGGGTTTTCAGCCCTCTTTTTGCCTGTCTTGATAGAGTAGACTGGTAGTCCATTTGTATAGATGGCAAAGAATTAATAAGATAATTTGAAATAGTGAAGGAAAAATTGTAAATTGGAATTGGCACAAAATTTTGAACTCTATACATTGTTTTTATTAGGCTTTTTTTGTAGTTCCCCAAACAAGACCTCTGTACCTAATCTCTCTGACTCTAAAGGGCACTGGTCTTTGCTATTCAAGCATAGGAATGGGAATGTTGTATTCTCCTTCCCAACCCTTGTCCTTTAGGGCTTCAGGTCTGTTTTTCAAAGATGTAAATATTTTCCTCTCTATACTTTCCTCAAAGCCCAGGCTGGGCCAGAGGCGATAAAGAGAAAGAAAGGTCTTTGAATAAGATATCTCCCATGCTTTTGGGGGGGCAGTAGGCTAGACCAAGACAATGGGAGTGGCCTAGGGCAAATTTTTCTGAGAGCCTAGGTTTTAGGCTTCTGCCACAGAACATCTTCTCATCCTTCCCCTACTCTTGATGTGGATTAGGCACTAACAGTTACTGTGGCGACCACCTTGAGGATGTGATAAGCAACTCTTTTGTCCACTTTGGTATGGGGATCCTCCACTAACATCTTATTCTGATGCCTCATCAGGAAATGCGGGTAACACCAGGGGGTCTTGAAAACTAAGTTTGTTGTTATTTAGTCATTTCAGATGTGTCTGACTCTTTTTGACCCCATTTGGGGTTTTCTTGGCAAAGATACTGTAGTGGTTTGTCATTTCCTTCTTCAGCTCATTTTACAGATGAGGTAACTGAGGTGGAGAACAAACTGTGGGAGGTTCTTGAAAGCTGTAGTAGTTTAATGTATACGCGCAGTCCTGCTGTGTGGCAGTTGTCCTAGGGCAAGCCTAGCTGGATTGAGAGAACTGCTCATTACCATGTTGGCTGCAGGGTGATGAAATTTCAGCTGCAGGAACTCACAAAGACCGTCTAGTAGGATGTAGAAGGGTCCTAGTAGAAAGGTAGAAGTGTTAAAGATTGTAACACTAAGAGGGTGCTCGTACTAATGTAGTAATTGAGTCTTAAAATAATGAAATGGCTTCAAGATAGCATTGTTCATTCAATTCATTTCCATGGACTTAGAGCCTCTATGATGGGGATCTAGCTATGGTCAGAATTTTGCTTTTTTTTTTTTTTTTTACATTTCCCCTGATAAAATTCTCAAGGAGCAAGGAGACAGTTAATAATCCACGGAAGAGGTACCTAAGGTGTGTGTTAGTTTAGTCCATGCATTATTTCACCATAGGAATTAGGAAAGAAGTAGTGGGTGGTAGTATAAAAGTTTAGGCAGACTATGCTAGATGGAGCATTTGGCAGAGACAGAATAACAACAAGCTATTTTGAGAAGTTAGGTTTCGGGGAGGAGCAAAAGATTTGAAAGTTAGTGATTTAATTTTTTAAAAAATTTAATGGTATTTTTTTCTTTTTCTTGGTGTCAAAGGACAGATCTTGGATAATAGATGAAAGTTGCAAAAGTAGATTTTTGTCTAGTGATAAACAAAAAATTATAAGGATAGCTGTCTAGAAATGGAATAAACTGCCTAAAGGGATTGTGAGTTCTGTGTGTTTGGAGGATATCAAATCGAGGCTGGGTAATGAAATTTTGAGGATGTTCCAGTGGGAACTCCTTGTAGGGTATGGTGTGAATATCTGAAATGCCCCCCAGATTTAGGATTCTCTAGTTCTATGGTGGTGGAAATAGAGTTACAAAGTCAAAAAAATGGAATTATGCCTAAACCTTGCTATTCATTGTAGAGTGTAATTCAGTGACTGGTGCACATTAGATGCCACTCAAGAAGTTTCAGTTACAAAAGTGTAGAGATGTCATTAGATACGTTAGCCTATATGGTAATGATAGAAATACTGAGAAAAGAGTTCTAGAGAGGTATTAGTGCACCTCAGTTTGGGTATGTATTCTAGTGCTTCTTTGCCTATATGACCTTGGAAATGTTTGCAAAACTCTGAATTCTAGGAGTGATTCAGGTAAACCAGATATTTTTTGCCTTTGGAGTGTTTTAAAGGTACTTCCATAAAGATCTTGTGATATGAATGGCTTTTTTCAAAGTCACATAGTAAAAGAGCATTTCAATCAGATAGGATATTACTAATTGATTCACTAAAATTTTGCAAAACTTTCTTTTTAAATAAAAAATGTTATCAATTGAAAAAAAACAGTACTGTCAGTCTCCTTTATCTCTGATAGAAGTTTCTTAAAGAAGTTACCTTTTTTTAAACATAATTACTTAAAGAAATATGTTTAAGTTAAATAAATCAACTCATGGCCATATCTAAAATGGTTTTGTCTACTCTGCATTAGTTCAAAGACATTTTCCTAAATTTCTCTGAATTATTCATGTTCATAATTTTTTTAGTAAATTAATATCTCATTACATGCATGTACCACAATTTATTTAGCTATTTCTCAATCAAGGTGCATCCACTTTGTTTCCAGTTCTTTCCCAACATAAAAAATGTTGCTGTGAGGATATTGGAATATATAGGAACTCTTTTTCTAACTTGGACCTCTTTAGATACATATCTAGAAGTGAGATCTGATATGGATGCTATAGTTACTTTTTACCACAATTTTTAATTGCTTTCCAGAATATTTGGATCAATTTCACAGTTCCTAAAGACCTTCATTGTTGTTTTCTTCTATAATATTGTGTTTACTGTGTAAATTTTTCTCCTGGTTCTACTTATTTAGCTCTGAATCAGTTCATACAAGTTTTCCTAGAAACTTATATTTCTTCTATCTTGTCTTTCAGTATTCTGGATTTCACACCGAAAGATCTGAATCGGATCATGACAGTCAGTGGGGAGGAAGCCCACTCACAGATACTGCATCTCCACAGTTACTGGACCCTTCAGAAAGGCCCAGCTCCCAGCATGATGCTTCGTGTGCCTATAGGCAGTATTCAGACCGTACTTCTCTTTGCTATGGCTTTGCACTGGACCATTCCAGGCTGACAGATGATAGGCATTTTCATACCCAGGCCTGTGAAGGAGGCCGATGTGAGGCAGGTCGATACTTCCTTGGTACCCCACAAGCTGGGAGGGAGCCCTGGTGGGGCTCTCGTTCAGCACTGCCCCTTACCAAGTCCTCCCCAGAAAGCAGAGAAGCCTATGAGAACAGTATGCCACACATAACCTCCGTTCACAGAATTCATGGTAAGAGTAATAGGGAGCAAATAAAAAACGTGTAAACCTTCAAGCAGTATATGATGGGGCTATTAGTAGTAGCAATATTACTAGTAGTAGAGTCTCTGCTCAGATGGAATCACAAATTTCAAGGCTACAGTACAGTATTCTAGATATGGGAATGTACTTCTTAGTCCAAATGATTTTCCTTTGGATTTATATACTACTTGAGGTAGTAATAAAGCTGAGATTGGAAGTTTTTACTAAATCTAAGTTAAAAAATTGGATCTATTTTTAATGCGTGTCAAATTTTGAATTTTAGAGAGAGAGGAAAGTGTTTTAGTAACTTTAAAACGAGTATTGTATTCGTAGGTATGGGGCCAAAGTTAAAATCTCATCAATTCTTGTTTACTACCTTTGTGGCCTTGGACGAGTTAATTAATCTCTCTAGGTCTTGAGTTTCTTCATCTGTAAAATGAAGGAGTTGGAGAGATGGTTTCTGAGACCCTTCCAGCTCTAGATTTGTGATCTGATGGCCCTTTGATTCTGTTGTGTATCTTCTGCGTTCTTGTACTCAGTTGGAAAATAAAATATAAAAAGTGGCCTGGCCATATAGAAAGTCATTCAGAAAGAATACTGGAAGTAAAGGATATTATGACGTGCAGAGCACACTTAGATTTTCATTTTGGTATTATTATGTGGAAGCTGGATAGTATCACAGGAAAATGGAGAATATAACTAAATTGCTTAGTGTCCCAAAAGGGTTTTTTGGTCAGGTGTGCAGAGTAAACAAAGAATAAGTAGATGTCCTGTTGTTTCTATCAGAGTTGAGTTCAGTATGGTCTCTTGAATTCTTCCTGTTATATCTTTTTTAAAGTAAACAATAATACGAAGATTAATTAGAAGACCCTAGTACTTAGCTGCTGTTGTTTGCTGAACCCCCACAGTCTACTGAGAATTTTAAATAGGTTAGCCATGATAAAGATTCAGCCTATGTCTTACATTATCCATCATGCATTCAATCCCCTGCTGCTTCACCCTCCCTCTAATAACACAATAATTTTTCTCTTTGCTTTCCAGTTCTTCTGTTTTTATTTTATACTTTTGTCTTATTTTACAAAATGGTAGATGGAAAGGGAAGCAGAAAAGGAACAAAAGTTTATTAAGTGCCTACTATATTCCAGGCACTGTGTATAACCCTGAAAGCAGTATACAGATGTGAGTTATAGTGACAAGACAGATGTTGGGGGGGAGGTACCTAAAATTTGTAGTCTGGAAGGAAATACTAGAAAGAAAAAAAAATAGTAAGGAACTATTTGGAGCAATTAATAGTATGATTGTAGAATTCATCTAGGAGAGGCAGGTGATCCAGTGGAAAGAATGTTGGGGCTGGAACCAAAAGAACAAGATTCAAATTTCAACTCTGCTGCATACTACCTGTGTGATACTGAGCAAGTCACTTATGTCTCTGAGTCTCAGTTTCCTCATCTGTAAAAGGATGGTGTAGGACTAGATGGCCTTTAAATCTATGATGTTATATGCAGTGTTATGCAGTCTGCAAATTAATGCTTTTATGTTTCTCTTCCCTCCTTTTTTACTGACTTTAGACTCTTTGGGGAGTTTGATTTTCTATAGCAGATATTCTGTGTTTGCATTATTCTTCAAAATCCTAAAGAAGCACTCTACCTACCTTTTTTTTACTTTTTTCCAGCCTTAGGGGTAGCTAGGTGGCGCAGTGGATAGAGCACCGGCCCTGAAGTCAGGAGGACCTGAGTTCAAATTTGGCCTCACACCAAACACTTGACATGTACTAGCTGTGTGACCTTGGGCAAGTCGCTTAACCCTGATTGCCTCACTTAAAAAAACCCCCAAAAAACAAAACAAAAAATTTTTTTCCAGCCTTGCTTGGATAAAATTCCTAAGTGATAGTGTTTCAGTTGAAAAGAGCTGACAATCTGAGATGCCAGCTCTATAGTGAAATATACATGTTATATGGATTTTGAGAGAGAGACTGATTTTAAATCCTTTTTTTATATCAAATAGTGTACAAACAAATCCCGGAGCTTTATTATATTTTGTACTAACTTAAAATATATTTAGAAGTTTCAAAATTTAGATAGGTTTTCTCTGAAGTTAAAAGAACAGTTTCTGCACTGATATGCTAACCTAACACCTCATGGTGATACCCAGGTGACTCTGGGTTCTTGATAGCTGTACCAGCAATGTACAAGCTTTTAACCAGTTCTCCTAAATTGAAAAATTTTATTGACAGTTATCTAGCCTAGCTCAGTGTGGGAAAGAGCATTGCAAGGATGGCTGCAGGGTAATGAATTTTAGCCTCACCTCCTTATTTTACAGCTGAGGAAGTAAGAGGTTCAGTTAGTTCGAGTGTTAGTTCAAGTTAGGGCAAGCCTAGAGTCATACAGGAAGAGATTGGCAGACCTGGGCTTGGTACCCAGTTCATCTGACTCTAAAACTGGGGACCCTTTCCAATTTGCCATGATTCCTCCCTTCATTTACATTTAATTTCTGGTAAACTTGCCATGTTATTGTTGAACTCCAGAGCTTCTGAGGACTTAGGATCAATCATAAGTTCCTAGATTCAGAGCGAGAAGGGACCCCTGATTCCATCTAGTCCAACACTACTTTTACAGATGAAGAAACTGAGACCTAACCAGGTTAAGGGGCTTGTCTAAGATCACTCAGACAGTAAATATAAAAGGTAGGATTTGAACCTAGTTCTTGGGACAATTTTTGTTTTTCATTTTGCTGTATGTGTCTGCATTGTGCCTAACTTTAAAATGATTGATGAATTGTTTTTAATTTAGAAACATGTTATATTGTATATTTTCCACATTTTTTTTTGTTACTAAGAATCTGCTTGGTGTTTAATCATATGTGGGTCTTTCTCTAGGGAGAGGTCACTGGGATGAAGATAGTGTGGTCAGTTCTCCAGACCCTGGGTCTGCCAGCGAATCAGGTGACCGCTATCGTGCTGAGCAGTACCAGAGCAGCCCCCATGAACCCAGCAAAATTGAAACTCTGATAAGAGCCACCCAGCAGATGATTAAAGAGGAAGAGAACAGATTGCAGCTCCGGAAAGCCCCTCCTGACCAACTGGCTGCCATTAATGGAGCAGGGAAAAAACACTCCCTTTGTTTTGCCAACTACCAGCAGCCGCAGCTGACTGGAGAGGTCTGCCATGGCCCTTCTCTTGCCAACACTTCCCCATGTGAGCACCTTCAACAAAGAGAAGGGAAGATGATGAGCCCTCATGAAAATGACTATGGCAGCAGCCCCACAGCCTTGTCTAGGATAAGCAGTCCCAACTCGGATCGTATTTCTAAATCAAGCTTGGTATTAGCTAAAGACTATCTCCATTCAGACATGTCCCCTCATCAGACAGTAGGAGATCACCCAGCAGTCTCTCCGAACTATTACAGTTCTCACCGGCAGTATTTTGATAAGCATGCTTACACATTAACTGGGTATGCCCTGGAGCACTTGTATGACAGTGAGGCCATTAGAACCTATTCCTTGGGCTGCAATGGCTCCCACTTTGATGTAACTTCCCATTTAAGAATGCAGCAAGACCCAGCACAAGGACACAAAGGGACATCTGTTATAATAACCAATGGGAGCTGATGTTTTTTTCTAAAAAAAATGTGCTTTAAGGATATCTTTGAAACATAGTTGGAACATATATATGTTTTAATGCCCTTGTTACCAGCATTTAATATACCACAGTATGTTAGAGAGAATAACCTAAGCTACTGAAGCTACTGGGTATGAATTGACACATGTTACTGTAAAAAAAAAATAAGAAATGCACTAGCATTCAGGGTTACAGCGAATGGAATTAAAGTGAACCTGTAACTTGCCCCCAGAATTTATGGGAGCCAGAATGGATAAAGTCACAATTGAAAATACCAGTGTAGATCAAGCAAGCAATTTGTGCAAATTGTAAAAGTTCTAGTTGGAAACGCCACAGAGGGAAGACCCAGTGAGCTGCATGGGCACAGATCGCTAGTCACAAAACTGCTATGCACCCTTGACATGCAGAAATTTGGAATGTAGACCATAAAATGCACATGCCAAAAATGGGTAACTTTTCTTAACCCTAACATGTGATTGCTTCTTCATGGTGTGAAGAAGCCGTTGCTGTTCCCCGAAGAAGAGAATGAGAGATCTCAGAGAAAAGGTTTCTTCCCTGTGGTCTCTTAGCCGTTCTGACACATTTGGTCTAGGCATAAATTAGAGATGTGGTTCTGGCTATGGCACTGGACATATTTCTCACATGGTATCTATTAGAGGCAATCAGGAAGTGGCAATTTTCATTCTGCTTTTGAGTCATAGAAAGGGACGTGATTGCACTGACGTAGAAGTAAGGGGCTGTGTTAAGTAACAGCAATTAGATGTTGGAACACGCACCAAGAATGGAGAGCGCTCAATTAAAAGAAATTCAGGGGAGGCAATGAGACCAGAAACAGAGATAAACGAAAAGATTTCCAAGAGCAGACCATTTCGGGTTCAGACTGTGTGTGCCATTAGTAATCAACACATTAAGAGTTTTTGAAAAAACAGCTACAGAACAACCCACCAGGAAACAAGGCTGATAGACAGGAAGTGTGAAAAGTAATTAAGAAAAACAGGGGAGGTACTGCATGAAATGATTGGAAGTGTTTGAAAACATTGCTAAATATAATTGTGCAAATGTAAAAACACGTGGAAAGCCAGTATAGTGAAGAAATAATCTGGCTTCAAGAGAATGTTTAAGTGGAAAGCTTAGAGTAAGGCACAGGACTTTGAGATGTAATATTCTGAATGAAGGAAAAGACAAAGTATTGCAAAATCTGCCTACTTGGATTTCTTATTGTTTTTTTAAAGACAGTTGCTGGTTCTTGAGGCATGTTTGGGTAGTAAGAAAGATCACTTCACTCGATGAATAGCACTAGTCTTTGTCAGGAACCCTAGGTTCCATTATTGACTCTCTCACTAACCTGCTATGTGAATCCATATAGATCACATAACCATCCTTCCTGCTTCTCAGGTTTATAATTTATAAAACAGAGAGGTTATATTAGATAACCTATCTCTAAAGTAATTTGTTGTTCTAAAATCCTGTGATTCATTAGTTCAGGGAAATTGGATTTAATTGAAAGATTCTGTTGGTTTGCTCCATCATGCCTTGGGAATGGCAGGAATTTTCATTTCTGGGTGTTGTGCCACTCACACAGCTACATGGCTGATCTGTAATTAAATCAGACCCTTTGAATCTCCCAGGTATGTTCAGTTCTGCCAACCATGTGTAAACCTAGTCAAAATGTATATGGCAGGATCTGATTAGGGAACAAAGAAGAAAAGTAAATTTTCGTCTCAGAGAGCACGCCGGCTTTGCTTAACGAGATATGTTCTAGAAATCCATAGAGAATGTTATAGATGGCATAGGGAGGTAGTTCATAAACTTATTCTTTTTTAAAACTTTTTTTTAAAATTAGGCAGTTGGGGTTAAGTGACTTGCCCAGGGTCACACAGCTAGTAAGTGTCAAGTGTTTGGTCTGAGGCAGGATTTGAACTCAGGTCCTCCTGACTTCAGGGCTGGTGCTCTATCCACTGTGCCACCTAGCTGCTCCCACAAACTTATTATTTACCCATCTTTCATGATGTTCATTTTCTCCAGGAACAGGGTTCTTGGCTCCTTTAAGGAGTGTTAGGCATTAGGGGAATTAACCTGGAACTTTTAAGAGAAAACACATCACTGAACATTGAACAGAGTTAGAATATACCTCTGTCATTTAGCAATGTACGCTTGATAGTCCATAGTCAGGAATGGTCCTGAATGATACTAATCTGAAGGCTGAATACTGTCTTGTCGAAAGGTGAAAGCAGTGGTTAAATTCTTTTAAAATCCATGACAGACATATTTCTCGAGTTATGTAGCATGTTATAAAGATGAAGAAAGACCAGAGTAAATTAATGATTTTTGTTACCAACTGGATCATCTAAAACAATTCATGCCTAGTTTAAAACAAGTAACAATTCTGAACAACACTGATTTAGTTTTGAATTGTAAGTTATAAGAAATTTTTTGGAGAACTGTGACCACACTGGAATACTTGTAATGGCATTATGGTAACTTTGTTAGAGAAAGGATGTTTTGGAAGTGCTAAGTATTTACCAAAATTGAGTGTGAGAATTAAGAACCAAAGGTATGGGTGAGCAGAAATACTTAGCGAATATGGCCTACTTTAGAAAGGAAGTTTGTACAGATGGGCCCTTACTGATGTGTACACATTCTACAGAATATGGCATAGACAGATGCTAGAAAGAGTAGTTGAAACATAAGAACCAAGGAAAATGAACTTATGCTAGAGGAAAGGCTGGCCCTAAAGGAATTTGGGTGGAATTTTTATGTGGAGGCTAGTTAATAGTTGGAGAAAGTAAACTATGAAATTTACAGATAGGAGCAGCCTGAATAAATAAAGCTCGTAAGAAAGGAAAGACCAGCATGTGTAGGGAAAGACAAAGACTGCCCTTGCAAGTTACATCTTGGTTGAAAATTCTAGTTGGCCCAGTTATAAGCACATCCTTGTTCCATTTAATGTATCAATGATATCAGTAGTTCTTTAGTAACAATCCTATCACCTAATATTAAAATATTACTTGGGAAAAGTAGAATAAAAATATGCAGCATTGTTACTGTTTGGCAACATGCTATGGCAAGGCAAGGTCAGAATGACTTGGAGTAAGTCCCGCTGTATTTCACTCTGGCAGAAACCTTAGTAAAGCAGTGTACTGAGAGCGGTAAACTGTGTTCCTAGTCCTCCTTAATACATTAACCACAAGAATATGTTTCCCATGCTGTGTAGACGCTGTCGTGTCCTTTATGTGTTTTGTATAAAATGGAAAATACAGGGCTCCAATAGCTTGATCAGTTCAATTTATGCTCTAAATTTATCAGTTAAATTAAATTTATGGCCTTGGGTTATAATCTTTGTTTTCCATATCTTTGCTAAATGCTGAGAACCATGGCATTGAACTTTAAAAGTCAGTATCTTAAAACACTAATCCCAAAGAAGTATAATTTTTCATATTATCTTAGGAATAATAAATAGGCACTATATCTTGTGTCTCTGCCAATAATATTAAAACTTTCTCTTTGGAATTTTTTTAGACCAATCCTCTTACTTAATCCAGAATTTTGCATAGCTGAGGTAATGTGAGGAATTTTCCTTTGGGGATTGGGGAGCCACTTTGTTAATGAATATGGAAGATGCAGTAAAATTTTCTTTGTTGTTTTTCTAATTTATAATATTAGCCTCATCATTAACCCAGGGCAGACATTTCAGGATGGATTTCATCTCTGTTTGTTGGTTGACATACTATGTTGAATGGAATATGCCTGTATTTCTATTCATAATTGCTTGATACTAGATAATATGACACCTGTTGAAGTGCTGCGCAGATGAGATGTAATTATAAATCATTTGCCATTAATGTTATCCCAGAAACACCACTTTTTCCCGTTCATACTGGATGATTATTGGAGGGATGAGAATAAGACCATTTGACCAGATTCTTAATTCCCTTTATGTCCTGTACTATCTATTGCTTCGGTATGGAGACCTCCCACTTACTAGTAAGCTTTATATGGGATGTGAGATGAGTGAATAAATAAGAAACACTGATTAAGTGTTTTCTGTGTGCCAAGCCCTGTGCAGAGGAAGGATTACCTTCACCTAGAATTGGCATATTCTGTTTTTGAAACCAGGCAGAATTTTGTTATTGTTGTTGCTAACCAAGACTAGAAAAATGTCCATGAACACTCTATAGTGATGATTTTAAAGCACATTTCCTCAGAACCTGGGTCAAATAACTTCTATGAGTGTCAGTTTCCTCACTTGCAAAAGAGGAGGTTGGATTAGCTGACCTGTTAAGGTCCCTTCTAGCTCTAAGTCTGTGCTCCAAGGGCAAAGAGGTTAGAAAGAATAAACAGTGGCTACATCTGAGCATTCAGTTTTATGAATATTTGGCTTTTTTTTGTTGTTGAGTTGTTTCAGTTGTGTCCAACTCTCCATGACCCCGTTGGGGTTTTCTTGGCAACAATGCTGAAGTATTTGCCATTTCCTTCTCCAGTTTATTTTACAGATGAGAAAACTGAGGCAAACAGGGTTAAGTGATTTGCCCAGGATCACACAGCTAATAAGTGTCTGAGGATGTTTGTCTATGACCCCTTCTCAAGAGCAGGTATTCAATCTCCCTAAATTTCCAGGTCATTTCTATGAAAACCAAGAGCAAAAGCTCTATGTTATTCATTGAATGACCTAGAGGCTCAGAGAAAGTTAAATGTTGGATGAATGCCTAGTTAAGTTATTGTATTGAATTTTGAATATCAAAGACGTAGCTATTTTGGGTTCACTTATTTTACAAGGGAGGATTGCATACATTTCTGTTCTAGTTTCGCTTGCATTTGAAGAGCTTTAACTTCCAAAATTTACAACACCCCCTTCCCTCTTTACTGGAACGATCTATCTAGAAACACATAGTGTTTTCTAAATAGATGAATCAATGGATGTAAAATTCCAAAGTGCTCCAAAGAGTAGGTGGAATGATTCAAAATATGATGTCAATTTTTGTGATTAAGGCCTTGAGTTCAGGTAGCTAACTGAAATACTGGGTTTATATTCAGAAAGCGAATCTTCAAGATGGCATATGACAAATTTCATGGCAGATGAGTTCTGTCTGTATGAGAGGGGGAAAATTTCAATGTGGTGCTCATTTTTGTGTGCAAGCTTGTACAGATAATGCTTGCCTCCAAGAGGAGAAGATGTGCTCATTTCCAAATGAGAGCTTCTTCAGAGTTCCTGCAGTAGGATGCCACAAGGAAATGTTAGCAAACACCCAAGCGTTATAAATAAAAACAAAGATAATTATCTGCCGTATTCCTTAATAAACTGACAAGTCACAAGAAAATTTGGAATTCCCAAATTGAGGAATTCAAACCAAATTTGTGTAATTTTTTAAAAAAATTGCTTAGATGAAACAAAGTAATGGGAATTTATTTACAGAGGCCTGTGGGGGAGTTTGTCCTAATCACCAGATTTGGGACCCAGAAGCATAGAACCTCAGAGTTGGAAGGATCATCTAGCCTGATCTGTAACCCGAAAATGACACTTAATTGCATATGAATTTGTTATATGACAAATCCCATTGTGTTTACATTGCAAAGGAAATGAAATCTGCTTTATTTTATTTTGGTGTTACTGTAACAGTAAAAAAAAAATTTTCCCAAGGGAAACATTTCAGTATATGAAGGATAGGAAGGTGTACTTCAAAATATAAGATTTTCCAGGCATGCTTTTGGACTGGTGTTAAAAAAAAATAGAAAAAAAAGCAGAAGAGAAAGAAGAAGAAAGGGTTATATTGTTAAGGGAAGAAAGTGATCCCTGATATTTCCAGTGCCATATCTTGCAATATATAGTTTCTAGTGACACTGTGGCAAAACACCTGTGGCTGGAGGTTTTACTTTGGAATGTAATGTAGAGAAAAATTAGCAACGTCAACAATATCTTGCAGAGTGTTCCTGTTTATAATTATTTATATTGTAAATAGCTTTCTGAAGTAAATTTGAAGTTAATGTGCATAAAATGTATTTATTATGTGAAGATTTTTTTTTTGGTTTAAAATATAGTTACCAATATGCATTTTTTGTCTGGATTCATGAGTCTTTTAAGTGATCATCACCAACACATAGAATTTGAGTTTGCAAAGCAATTTCCATATACTATCACATTTGAGCCTTATCAAAATTATATGATGCAGGTACTACAGATAATCACCATCCCTATTTTACAGCTGAGGACACAGAGAGGTGTTGACTTGCCCATGGTCACAAAGCTAGTTGGAAGATTTGAACCTGGGCCTTACTAAATCCAAATCTAATATTTGATCCATTATATCATATTGTCTCAAATAGGAATTATTTCTTGAAAGACAGATCTATAGTATTAGGCACAAGACTCTTAACAGAAAAAGGTATGTTCAAATAATATCACTTTTGGAAATGAAACAGCTTTTTCAGCATAGAGCTAGGGACATTACCAAACAGTTTGCTGGTCGTTCTTGGCACCTCTTTTTGAATGTGTCCAATGTGTTTTCCCCAGGGATTTCTCACATACCCCATTTGCCCTAGAAACTGTCAGTCAGGATCCACACTCAGGCCCCTGGGAGAGATTCACACAGTGCTCTAAGAATTGAAGGTGGTGTTTTGTGTGCCTTCCATAAAGCAGTTTTACAAAGCCCATTAAATATGTCACAGAAGGGTTAGCCAATGCCGGCTTATTGGCCACTGTTTCACTATAATTCTTGAAAAGTGCTTTGTCTTAGGGCTTTGCTGTCCAAGAATGGTTTAGAAAAAAAGCTACAATGATTTTTACTTCTATTTTGTTGAAAATAATTTCACCCAATAACTTTTCTCTTTATGGACAGCTAAATACAGTCTCATGCTTGATATTTCCTTA